ATCAGGTCTGTAACATGATTAAAGGGATGTCTTAGAGAGGTAGAGTCTCTCAGAAGTAAAGATGGGCAGAGGCTCTCCAATCTGTGAAAGAGTGCGTAAAAAGATTGTGGAACACTTTAAAAACAGTGTTCCTCAACATCAAATTGCAAAGGCTTTGCAAATCTCATCATCTACAGTGCACAACATCATCAAAAGATTCAGAGAAACTGGAGAAATCTCTGTGCGTAAGGGACAAAGGCGAAGACCTTTATTGGATGCCCGTGGTCTTCGGGCCCTCAGACTACACTGCATCACTCATCGGCATGATTGTGTGAATGATATTACTAAATAGGCCCAGGAATACTTCCAGAAACCACTGTCGGTAAACACAATCCGCCGTGCCATCTCCAGATGCCAACTAAAGCTCTATCATGCAAAAAGGAAGCCATATGTGAACATGGTCCAGAAGCGCCGTCGTGTCCTGTGGGCCAAGGCTCATTTAAAATGGACTATTTCAAAGTGGAAAAGTATTCTATGGTCAAACGAGTCCAAATTTGACATTTTTGTTGGAAATCACGGACGCCGTGTCCTCCGGACAAAAGAAGAGGGAGACCTTCCATCGTGTTATCAGCGTTCAGTTCAAAAGCCAGCATCTCTGATGGTATGGGGGTGCATAAGTGCATACGGTATGGGCAGCTTGCATGTTTTGGGAGGCACTATGAATGCTGAAAGCTATATAAAGGTTTTAGAGCAACATATGCTCCCCTCCAGACAACGTCTATTTCAGGGAAGGCCTTGTGTATTTCAGCAGGACAATGCAAAACCACATACTGCAGATATTACAACAGCATGGCTTCGTCGTAGAAGAGTCCGGGTTCTGAATTGGCCTTGCCTGCAGTCCAGATCTTTCACCTATAGAGAACATTTGGCGCATCATTAAACGAAAAATGCGTCAAAGGCGACCACGAACACTTCAGCAGCTGGAAACCTATATAAGGCAAGAATGGGACCAAATTCCAACACCAAAACTCCAGACACTCATAAACTCGATGCCCAGACGTCTTCATACTGTTTTGAAAAGAAGAGGAGATGTTGCACCATGGTAAACGTGTCCCCGTCCCAACTATTTTGAGACATGTAGCAGGCATCAAATTTGAAATGAGCTCATTTAGTGGATAAAAGTGTACAATTTCTCCGTTTAAACATTTGTTATGTTATCTATGTTCTATTGTGAATAAAATATTGGCTCATGTGATTTGAAAGTCGTATAGTTTTAATTTTATTCAAATTTAAAAAACGTCCCAACTTTTCTGGAATTCGGGTTGTATATTGGATCTGACAGGAGTTGTGCAACACACGGACTCTGGGTCGAACATGTATGGGCGAATCCGGTTGCCATTTGACAACATAGGACGTTTTCCCCCACATACACCGACGGGTGAGTTAAACTCATTATAATGCATTATAATAGCAAAACTGTTCTCCTCTCGCAGCAGTGGGTGTTTACTTCCAAGTCTTCAGTGCGACACGCCCATAAAAACCGACTGTTTTTTAGGTAGGCTCACAACCAGGGTACAAAATAGCCTATTACTTGTTCATTTTGATGTTTTTGAATGCAAAAACCAAGTGAACGTTATAAGTTGACCTCAGACAACAATATAATAACATTTAAAAAGCCAGTTCATGACCCCTTTAAATTGTACTAAAACTCTGTGAAATATTAAACTAAAACTCAAGTCTATAAGATACTAAACGGAAAATCTACAACACTCTAAAACTCTACATAACACATTCTTCGTAAACTCTACATGACATATTCCACTGAAACCTTGAAAATCTACAATATAGCCTACTCTAAAACTCTACTTGACACATTCCACTGAAACTCTACATGATAAATTCCAATAATACTCTATGTGATACATTCCACTTATACTCTTAGTATGAAACTACACACAAATTCTACAACACACATTCTATAAAACTTTACATAACGCATTAGTCTGAAACTCTATATGACACTAATGAAACTCTGCTTGCCACATTCTAGTGAAATTCTACAACATACTTTACAAAAATTCTGTACTAAAACTGTACATGACACCATCTACTAAATCTCTACTTAACTCTATTAAACCTTACGAATTTATTCAAATTCAATGACACCTTAATCAAATTCTGTACAACATCCATTGTAACTCTATCAGACCCTCTATACTTAAACATTCTCTATTCAAATTCCCCACACTTAACATGATTATGTGCGTGAGGTTAGAGGTTTGGTGTGGAGAAGAATCCCATTGCTCTGTACTAGATGGACACAGTTACTGTTTGTTATCTTGCTGTGTTGCTGAGCAGCTGCTTTAATTTATTTCAGGAACAGAACTGAGAATACACAGAGGAACAATTACAGACACACCGTGCTCTGATCCCGGTCTATCTGACTCTTCCACTCTGCTGAGGTGTGATGAGCTGAACATGAAATGTTGAGGGAAATGATAGGGAAGACCGGGAAAACAGCAGCCAAAAGAGAGAGCAGCACAGCAGGATTTAATAAGCCAAAACTGCATCAGTGGATCACACACACACGGTAATGCAGCAGAAGCTAATCCAAAGGTTGCAGGTTCAAACCCCCGAAGGCTTGATTCATGGGCCTGAGGATTTCTGAGGTATCCTATATCTAATTACCAACATTAGTGCGTTCTTGAGTGGACCGCTTAAACCCAGATTGCTCCGAGGGGATGTTCCCTGTTCTTATTGTACCATGAGACATTACTGGGTAAGAAACTAAACAACTAGCACACAGAAACAAAAGAGCCTTAATGCACACACACACACACACACTAGGTCTAAAAAGATTTGACACAATATACAGATATAAAAAAGTGGTTTCAGCTCCGCAAGGCAAATTTCAATGTGTCAGTGCATGGACAATTCACAACTTAAGGAAAAAACTACACGACACACTTCTAAAATTCAGCACAACCTGTACTTTTAAAACTCTACATTGCAAAAACTCATCATAGCTGTATCTGTGTACGTATACACTACATCTCACCAAAGCTGCATTTAATTTATCAAAAAAACAGAAAAAAATAAAAATGAGAAATGTTACCATTTTAAAAACTGACTTTTGAATATATTTTAAAATGTAATTTATATATGTGGTAATGCAAAGCTGGATTTTCAGCAGCAGTTTATTTGATAAAAAATAGAGTAAATTCAGTACTATTGTGAAACATTTTAATTTAAAGGAACTGAACTGATATGATTATACTGTGAAAAGTAATTTATTCCTGTGATGCAAAGCTGAATTTTCAGTCTTCAGTGTCACAAGATCCTTCAAACATTTCTCATTATTACCAATGTTTCTTGCTGCTTAATGTTTTTTTGTGGAAACTGTGATACACAACAATTTACAAGTTTGGGGTAAAATTATATATATATATATATATATATATATATATATATATATATATATATGAGCCAGACCGATATATTTGCAGGCCGATATTATCGGCCGATATTAGGAATTTTCCAAACTATCGGTATCGGCAGTTGTAATGGCCGATGAATGAATATTTCAAATATAAAACGAAAACGGACAAAACATGTTTGAACCATGTCATGAGTGTTGGAGTTGTATAGTTTGTCCACCAGAGGGTACTCTACACCGTCCCTGTTGGCAACACTCATTTCGTTGGTCACCAGACATACATTGCTTGAATAACAATTAAAAGAACATCTCCATCAGTTCTCTTAACTCAAATAAGCAGGACAAAATTTGTGACTATCATGTCCAGTTTTGCTGCTGTTAAATAAGCCGAGAGTGAAGCGGAATTGGCTAGTAATAGTTACTTTACGTTGTTACAGTGTAGTTGACTGAGACTGTCATGTTATTTTAGTTAAAACTCATAAATAACTATAAATAACTAATGTTAGGGAAATCGGTTAATGTTTTGTTTTATCGTTTCTGAAATAAATAAAATAAATAAAAAAATATCGGCCGATATATCGGAATTTAAAACCAACAAATATTTGTATCGGTATCAGCCTTCAAAATCCTTTACCGGTCGGGCTCTAATATGTATTTTTATATATATATATATATATATATATATATATATATATATATATATACTGTATATACATAAATCATTAAAAACTATATTCAGCAAAGACATTAAATTGATCAAAAGTGACAGTAAACACATTTATAATGTAATATTATTGTGGTTTCCAAAAACAAATTAACATTTGCTGTATTAATAAAATATAATTCTTCCCAACATTGATAATAACCATTAATAATAATTGATCACCAATACTTATTGGAATGGTATACATACAGTATATATATATATATACTGTATGTATACCATACATACAGTATATATATATACATATATATACATATGAATAATGAATAAATTAATATAAAATAAATGTTTTTCTCCAAAACATGTCGGCCACAATTATTCATACTAGAATTTTTTAGGAATAAAATGTCTATGAAGTATATTCCCATACATATTTACCTTTTTTAGCATACTAGGGTGATTAACATGAAATTGTCCAGTCATGACTTCTTGCTTCACGGGAGTTTAAATATGAGGAAGCACAAAGGCCAAATTTCCTGAATCATCCATCACAGTGAATAAAACCAAAGAATATGGTTCTGATGTGCATCAAAAGATTGATGAGCTTCACAAAATAGAAAGTGGATGTAAATAGCTAAAGAATTGAAAATTCCCATTTTGACCATCAGGGCAATAAGTAAGAAGTTATAATCAACTAAAGATGTTACGATTCTGCCAGGAAGAGGATGTGTGTCTTATATATATGTCTTTTTAGAGTGTACTTTTCACAATATTACTATTTTTATAGCATTTTTGATCAAATAAATGCATCCTTTGTGAGCTTAAGACACTTCTTTCAAAATCATTAAAACAGCTTAATTGTTATAAACTTCAGATCAGTAATATGCATGATTCTGGCCTAATTGTGTTTGTGTGTCTCACCTCTGGCTCATGATCTTGTACGCATCAGGCAAATAACAGCGTGTGTTCTCCATCTGCGCAGGGTCGGCATCGCAGATTTTGTCATCAGTCCGACCATAATTTGCACTCTCAATCATGATGACGTCCGTGCCGGGACAGCGCAGCTCGATTGGGTAACTTTCACAAGACAACTCCCGTCGAACGACTGCCATGGGCACCGGAGCACGACTGAATGCTGCAAAAAGTGAGAAGAGACATTCAGTCAAAATAAAAACTTGATGACAATATGACAATTAATGCTTATTAACCTAAGAGATGAAATAAAATAAAATAAAAAATAAAAACAGAGCAAATATTTTTGGAGAAATCACTGCAAGATACAAAAAAAAATTGGTGTTCCACAACAAGTCACGAGACATAAGAATCAGTGACATTTGTCATTGTTGACATCAAACCTTGAGATATGAGCTCAAAGCCTTGCCAAAAAAGATCATTGGTCAAAAAGAGCTATTCACTTTCAGTCTATGAAAAAGATACATTCTGTATTTTTTTTTCTTTTTTTTGCATTACAAAGAAAAAAAGGAATGTAAACCATTACTATTCCTTAAAGGGTTAGTTCACCCAAAAATGAAAATTAAGTCATTAATTACTCACCCCCATGCTGTACCCACCCCGTAAGACCTTCGTTCATCTTCGGAACACAAATAAAGATATTTTTGATTGAATCTGAGAGCTGGATCAGTCCTACATAGACTGCCTAAGGGACTGGCTCTTGACGGCCCATAAAGTCATTAAAGAAAAGGTTTAAATGTTCCATGTGCCTACAGTGGCTCAATTATAAGTTTATCAAGCGACGAGACTACTTTTTGTGTGAAAAAAACATAAATAACGACTTTATTCCACTATTCCATTACTTCCTTATGGGCGCATGCGCGAGAACTGAGATGAGGACGTTCTCATTCGACTACTTCTTGTTACCGGCTGCTCACCGCTTAGGAGTTTTACCGCCACCTACCGTATAAAATGATGTGCTGAAGCGCAAAACTTTCTGTTTACAAGCAGAGGAAGATGCGCGCTGTACATACGCTTTTCAATTTGCGTATTTTCCGCACTATAAGGTGCACTTAAAAGCCTTTAATCTTCTCAAAAAACGACAGTGTTCCTTATAATCCGGAGCGCCTTATATATGGATCATCATTTTATACGGTAGGTGGCGGTAAAACTCCTAAGCCGTGAGCAGCCGGTAACAAGAAGTAGACGAAGGAGATCGTCCTCGTCTCAGTTCTCGCTCATGCGCCCATAAGGAAGTAATGGAATAGTGGAATAAAGTCGTTATTTATGTTTTTTTTTTCGCACAAAAAGTAGTCTCGTCGCTTGATAAACTTATAATTGAGCCGCTGTAGGCACATGGAATATTTAAACCTTTTCTTTAATGACTTTATGGGCCGTCAAGAGTCAGTCCCTTAGGCAGTCTATGTAGGACTGATCCAGCTCTCAGATTCAATCAAAAATATCTTTATTTGTGTTCCGAAGATGAACGAAGGTCTTACGGGGTTGGAACAGCATGGGGGTGAGTAATTAATGACTTAATTTTCATTTTTGGGTGAACTAACCCTTTAAATTATTTGACAATAAAAAAAGATTTTTAACGGAATCCTTGATCACATGCATTTATTAACACCCCTTAATATTGACACCATAATGTTCAGATTAGTGGTAGATCGATATGTGTTTGTGAATAATTGATAGCATTTACACTAGGCAAGTAACATTCATTTATGTTAATAAGTCACATACCTAAGGTAGCCTAAATTCAATGTGATTCAAATGGATTGCGGATAATTTAGTGGATATGTTGTAGATGTGTGTGTGTGTGGAAATCCTATATCGCACAACAGTTTGGTGAATTCGTCCTAGAGTCACTCTTTCCTGATATTTCTGGATCGAGTGGCAGAACATATAAAACAGGATCAGAGATCATTTCTCTGCTCTAAATCTTTCCAGATCAGAGTCTTTAGTCCCGGCTGGGTGATGGACTAAAGCTGAGCTTGTCTTCAGCTCAACCCCATGGGTTTATCTTTGGGACAGTAAAACCTGGATTGTGTGGTCACTGAAGTATTTCGGTGTGGATTTGCTCTGGACGACTGTCACGATGGAAGAGCTGTGAGATCCTGGCAGAGACAGCAACATTTTGATTAGAAGTCTGAGGACATTTAATGGATTCCACAAGTTTGTCTGACAAAAACTTGTAGCAAAAATAAATAAATCACCATCTAATCTCAAAGTGGTCCCCATACTTTATACTGTAAATAAAAGTATGTGTACGTCTGTATATTTAAAATTCACCAACATGAATAAGAATAGACTGAATTTGTAAACTTTGAGAACAAGAAGCTCATTAAAAGAGGTTTCCTCACCTCTTCATCTTGTTATTTGATAACATGAAAGAACTGTCAGATTCTTGGTCCTGATGCAAACACCTGTTATAAACCAGGGCGGCATAAAACAAACCTGATCTCCACAAATAAGGCTCTGACACACTCAGATCCACCATTCACTGCCCACCGCGCATCATTGGGTTTGATTTTAATTGGTTTCCAGCTTCCGTACCGCACCTTTTGTGTGAATCTCTGCGTTTAAACGGAGTGTGACTTCACTCGTGTGAACAAACACTCGCCCGTCGATGACAGATCATTAACCATGAGACGTCACGGGACGCAGCGGAGCTCTCACACACACTCACGCTTCTCCTATCATGTTTACTTTCACTTCATACGACATACCTCTGGAGAGAGACAGACTGACAGAGACAGTGTTCGATCTGATGATAAATAGACAAAGAGTGAGTAACCCAAGTGATATACTGAATAATTGAATTTATTGTTGAGGATAACCAACAATAAATAGAGGTTATAATATATAGGTTAAACCACCCAGAACAAACTAGCAATTACCCTATAGCAACCTAACCTAATGTTACTTTCTCTGTCTCTCTCTCTCTCATATATATTAGGGCTGGACAGTATGGCTTAATGATACAGTACAAAATGAATAGACTAGACAAGTAACAAGAACACAGTAAACAAGTGAAAAAGGACTAATAGCAAATTAATTAAAATTTTAATTAAAATACAATAACACAAACAGTGTGTGTGTGTGTGTGTGTGTGTGTGTGTAATGAAAGGATTGTGTGTTTGTGGTCCTTTTCTCTCCTCTTCCACACCCTGACACCTGGACTGCTCTGACATTTAAAAGTCATCATTAACATCAAAACACAAGCCCATGGGGCTCCACACACACACACACACACACACACACATTCCAAGGGGCCTGGTCAGAGTAATCTCACAAAAGAGAGAAAATCTGCCTAAACACACAGGTCAGAAACATCAGGGTGAAGGATTATCCATGCTGTGTGTGTGTGTGTTGACAGATGGTCTTCACCAGTCTAATATCACTGTTAAAGAGTCTCTCTGCATTGCTGTATGACTTATGAATGACAGACAAAGACAATTAAGTTCTTAACTTTTTGATACCTTAACACACCATAACATTATGAAGAACTCGACCTGACATTACACAACCTAACAAAACATTCCCAGAAACCGTTCATCATTTTACATTGTTATGTTGAGTTTAGTGGGAAGGTCACGTGGCTCCAAATAAAAACAATACAGTATAATAGTATAATCTTAAGTGTAATATCATTTTCTTTCATCTCATAGTATAATATTAAAACAAAATTGCACCAGGAAGAGAGTAACAGAATGTGACTGGGCCAAACAAGTAACGTTAGGCCTATGTGAAACGTCTGTGTGAAACTACTTTCTTGCGAGTTATGTTAGAAATAGCAACAAGGGCTGTTTTTGATATTTCTTATATGCAACAGTTCACTAAACATAAACGAAATATTGAGTAACTTACATTTTAGATATAATATTGTCCGTTATTCGTGTTGCTGCGCCAAAGAGAGCAGTTCCGAATCCGAACAAAGTCATCGATCCGAGCCGGTGTGTTTTGATCTTGAATAGATTCAGTGTTTCTGAACAAATCGCTTGAGTGAATGATTCAATGACTCAATGAGATAAGAGTCACATGTTTCATTTCAGAAAGAATCGCATTTTCAAACAAATGAGTTGAATGAATGGTTCATTGAGTCGTGGTTCAAAGATATTTATTTGCCGCCCCCTACTGGTGTCACCACAAAAACTGTAGAAAGATTATATTATATTATATTATATTATATTATATTATATTATATTATATTATATTATATTATTATTTTTTGTATTGCAACATTTCTCCTATTGGAAAGATGCCACTTTAATATTGATTTTGCTAAAATTGTGTTAAACTTGCATTAAATTCCCATGAGTTTTGTCATTGACTTTCAGATGTTTGGGGTAACTACATTTAATATATATATATATATATATATATATATATATATATATATATGCTCTTACTATGCTTATTTGTGTAAACATCTCCTAAAAGACAAAGAACAGCTTGAGATTTGAATGTGGCTAAATGGAGGATTCGGCTTTCTGAGCCTCCAAAAGCAGTGCATAACCGGAGAAATGTATATTTACAGAAATGTCCATGACATAACATTGTGTAACATTACATAGTACTCCATGACTTTTTAAACCTTTAAAAAGTTTAAAATATTCCTCTGTGTGTTCCTGATTGTTCTCAAAGTAGCTTATATTGAGTAGTGAAGCCAGACACTAATTACCGTTGTTTGCTTTTCTTTATCTTTCTTGCAATTGATTATTTCACTGAAGCATTAAATAAGCATTGACAGAAAGAGCAAATGAATACCATAACTTGGACACAGCGCGTTTCTGTGAGTGTGCATGGGTGTGTGTTTGTGTAGAACATCTGAGGTTGTCGGTTTGTGTTTGCTTGTTTGCAGGTGGTAAACACACAGTCCTGTGAGTCTTGAGCGATGGCTTTGGATGGTTTGACCAGCTTAGTCAATAGTGTGAAGAATGAACGCTGTGATGAACGCCTCCACCTGTGTGTACATGCATCACTGTTTCCCTTTCCCACAAACACTCAGTAAATGTAACAATATATATATATATATATATATATATATATAGGACAATAACATAATTTGACAATGTGAACAACACTTTAATGAACATGAATTCCATTACATCTAATTTAATTCCGAAATGTGTTTTGTATTCCATATCTAAATGAGCATGTAGACAGTGTTTGTGCTGA